GTTGGAAAATATGGCCTTGTGATAGAAATGACACTGGAGACTTTTGCAAGACGAACAACTTCTTCACTGCAACTACCTTTTTCAACAACATAAACAACATAAATGGTGACTATACACATGGACCCTGCCGGATGGAATACACAGGAATCAAATCAACTACATGTGTGGAAAGAGACGATGGAGAAGCTCAATATCATCAGTCAGCACAAGACCAGGGGCCGACTGCACAACAGATCATCAATTGCTTATATGAAAGTTCAAGTTAAAACTGAAGAAAATTAAAACAAGTCCACAAGAGCCAAAGTACGACCCTGAGTGTATCTCACCTGAACTTAGAGACCATCTCAAGAAAAGATTTGACGCACTGAACACTAATGAATGACCAAAGACCAGACGAGTTGTGCAGTGACATCAAGGACATCATACATGAAGAAATCAAAAGGTCATTAAAAAGACAGGGAAGAACAAAAAGATCAAAATGGATGTCTGAAGAGACTCTGAAACTTGTTCTTGAATGTACAGTAGTAAAGTGAAAGGAAGAAATGATGAAATAAAAGAGCTGAACAGAAGATTTCAAAAAGTGGCTCTAGAAGACAAAGTAAAGTACTATAATAAAATGTGTAAAGACCTGGAGTTAGAAAACCAAAAGGGAAGAACATGTTCAGTATTTCTCAAGCTGAAAGAACTGAAGAAGAATTCAAGCCTCAAGTTGCAATACTGAAGGATTTTATGGGCAAAAAATCAAATGATGCTGGAAACATCAAAAAAAGATGGAAGGAATACACAGAGTTGCTGTACCAAAAAGAACTGGTCAACATTCAGCCATTTCAGGAGGCAGCATATGATCAAGAACTGATAGTACTGAAGGAAGAAGTCCAAGCTGCACTGAAGGCACTGGAGAAAAATAAGGCTCCAGGATTGAAGGAATACTAATTGAGATGTTTCAACAAATGGATGCAATGCTGGAAGCACTCACTTGTCTATGCCAAGAAATTTGGAAGACAGCTATCTGGCCAACCAACTATGCATCAGGGTTGTATGCTTTAACCATATGTTGATCCAGGACATTCTGTTTTGTTAGGTTTGAGAATTCTTAACTCCTGCACTGTCAGATTTTCCTGCAGTCATATTTCCCTTGCACTCACTTGTGTCATGGAGCCTGTAAAGTTCACTCTGAGTTTCTGCTGCTGTTCTCAGAACTTTCCAGCAGTACCTGATGGCGATTTGGTGCTTTTCTGGCTCTCAGGGCTATCACAAGTCATTTTATTTTACCTCTGCTTTTTCTACCACAATTTTTAATACCATGTAGTTGTTGCAGCTTTTGGTGGTTTGTTTCTATTGGTTCATATTTTGGGGTTTATAGGAAAATCTTTTCATCTATTATTGTTTAGGTCTTACCTGGGGGTCTTTTAGTTTTGCTTTCCTAGACTCTCTGCCTGTTTCTACTGGAAGATTCAGTGAGATTCAAAAACTATGCTACAACTGCTACCAAATTCCCAGAATCCTCTATTGACTGGATTCTAAAGGTACACTGACCAGAATATTTAATTGAAAATGTTTTTAGATTGCTTTTAAAAAGGTGGTATTGATTCACATGTCCACCTATAATCTTAGAGTATACTATTGATTAAAAACCAAACAAAAAAAACCATTGTCGTCAAGTCGATTCTGACTCATAGCGACCCTACAGGACACAGTAGAACTGCCCCATAGGGTTTCCAAAGAGCGGCTGGTGGATTTGACCTGCCGGCTTTTGGTTGGCAGCCAAATTCTTAACTACTGCACCACCAGGGCTGTCTACTGATGACAGGATATGTATAACATAAATGTACAGGTATACCTCATTACTAGTTTAATTTGCTTTTCCCCTACTTCTATACTAAGTTTAAGCATCTCTACAGTTTGTTGGCCATTTTGATTTGTTCGTATGCTTATTCTTAGCTTTTGACCAGGCAACTGTTAATATTGTTTATTTCTTTGCAGATACAATATCCCTGAAGATATTAATCCTCCATTCTCTGCTTTACATTTTTTCCCTACTATACTGTTCGTCTGAGGGGTGTATTAAAATTTATCTCTAATCTGCTTCTCTCCCTAGTTCTTTCAGTTCTTGCTTTATATGGTTTAAGCCTTTATTGTTAGGTCCATGTACATTTATAATCATTATATCTTCTTTATCTACTATTCCGTTTAGTAGTATACAACATCTTCTTTTATGTCTGTTGGTGTTTTACATCTTACATTCCATTTGTATTATATATCTGTGACCCCAATTTTCCTTTATTGTCTACCTTTCCATATACCTTTACTTTAAGCCATGCAGTTTCCACCTGGTTCTCTTGATATGCTCGCTCTGAGAAAACCCAGCTGCCATGTAAGAAGATTGAGACTGTCATGCTGGAGAGACCATGAGTAGCTGCTGACAGCCAGCATTAACTGCCTGCCATGGCAGTGAGCCATCTTGGATGTCCAACTTAGCTGAACCTTCAGACAACTGCAGACTCAGCTGATATCTGACTCCAACTTCACGGGTGACCCCTAGTGAGAACTTCCCATAATCATAACCCATAAAATAGTGAGCATTATAAAAAGGTTGTTCTAAGCCACTAAGACTACCAAGTCACCATATTTTCCTTTGTTCTCTTGTTCCCTTTCCTGCCTTCCATTCAATGGATAGGCTTTCCATCTGTAGGTCTGAAAGCTATACTTTTTAGTTCCTAGTCTTCTGTTTGTTCCCTTCAACTTATTAAGAACCATATTTATGCTTACTTCCCTTAACAATATTAAGTTATCAATAATATTTAAACATATTTACATGATACTATATGCCACCATTCTAACATTAAACTTTAAAGTTGTTTAAAACTTAAAACAATACAGTAAGATAGGTACTATTACTATCCTTATTTCATATATATATACTACTTTAGGTGAAAATTTACAGAGCAAATCAGTTTTCCATTCAACAGTTTATACACAAATTGTTTTTTTTGACATTGGTTACAATCTCCGTTATGTGTCAACACTCTCCCCTTCTCCACCCTGGGTTCCCGGTTTCCATTCGTCCCATATTCCTGTCCCTTCCTGCCTTCTTATCTTTGCTCTTGGGCAGGTGTTGCCCATTTGGTCTCATTTATATGAGTGAGCTAAGAAGCATGTTTCTCACGTGTGTTATTGTTTTACAGACCTGTGTAATTTTTGGCTAAAGGGTGAACTTTGGGAAACTATCCTTATTTTTTGATAAAAAAACGAAAGCAAAGAAAGGTAAGTACCTTGTCAAGCTCATACAGCTAGTATATGATGGAGCTAGGATTCCAATTCAAGAAGTATGGCTGGGAATTCACTATGTTAACCACCAGGCTATGCCGTTCTGCAATTTCTCCCCAAACAAGACAAATACCTTAGCATGCTCACCTCACTTTATCCTTACACCAGTCCACATTGTGTTTGTATTTAGATTAGTTCTGGATTGCTCTGAATATACATTTTCTCTTTCTTCAATTTTGGTAGAGTGGGACCCTTGCTTTTTTTTAGACCAAAGTAAAGTCCTCTAAGATATCAACTCATCCTTATTTCCCAAATCTCTCACAAATCCTCTTGGATTTATATCTTTTCTTGATGAAGTGCTTCCTCCAAGAGTATTTTCAAAGAAGATTTTGTATAATAAACCTTCTAAGTTCTTGTATACCTGAGAGTATTTTTAACTTGTTCTCATATTTAAGTAATAATATATCTGGATTAAAATATTTAGATTCAAGTTCTTTTTCTTTAACACTTTGAACAGATTTCTCAGTTGTGTTCTCAGGTTGGTTTTGAGTAGACTAATGTTAATTTAATTTCTGTTTTTTTACACAGATGATCTCCTCTTTCTTTTTGAAAGTTTTTAGAATTTTCTCTTGATTTGATATCTTTAAATTTTACTATAATGTGTCTAGGTGTACATTTTTTCTTATCTATTCTCTTTAGCACCTAATGGTGTTCTTCTATATAAATTCATCTTTAATTCTGGGAAACTTTAGGTCATTATTTCTGCAAGTATTTCCATCTCTCCGCTTTTTTCTTTCCTGCTGAAAGTCCTTCTATATAGATATTGATGCTATTTCTGTCTATACGTTTACTTTTATATTTTCCATCTCAACTTCCATGTCATTAGCTTGTTTTTCTGCTATATACATCTGCTATTATATACATGTATTGCGTTCTTTATTTCAGGAGTTATATTTTCATATTAAGTATTTTCCATTTATTTTTCTTTATAAATTCCTTATCCTATTTCACATTACCAATATACCTCCTTTCTTGTCTTTTGAGGATATTTCTTATGCTTAAATTCATGTTCTGTCTGGACTCAAAATTTTGCTTTATCTAGCATCAGTTATTTAGTTTGTTGTCTTTTTTATAGCACTTATACTTTTTACATATTTTATTCATTTCTCTGATCCATCAATCTCTCTTTCAATCTGTGGTTCTAAGGTTTAGGGTGAGAAGAAGGAGATAAGTGCAGTTTTCTAACTTCTAGAATTTCTTTTTAGGAGCTTGAGATAAACAATTAAATCTTCATGTTCCACCATATACAATACTTTAGCCATACCCATGTTGAATAGAATGGAAAAAAAAAAAGACTCCAACCAAATTTTCACTAAACATTTCTCTTTCTCAGTAGTTTTATTAACCTCAATCTCAGATTCTTCCACTAGTGGTCTCAACTTAATGCCTTCCTTATGATACATTCCCCAAGAACTGCTCTTTACTATAAAAGACTTCAAAACATTGAATTTAAGAAGACAGAAAAACAAAACAACTTTATACAGTCGTGCTACCTTTCTCTGTGGGTGATTATTTCCTTTCATATAGAATTTATTTTCTCTCCAAGCTTTTATGTTTGTAACTTTGAAGAAACCAATAACAAAAATCACAACATCTACACAATGCAGAAGAAATCCATTCTCATTTTTTTTTTTTTTTTAGGAACACACTATGCTTATAACTAGGCTGAATACCTTAGGTGGAAAGCCAGTTGAACCAGGGCATGCCTTTTTCCTTAAGGTTGGTGTGTGAACTGGAAATGGAGTAGAGTCTACAGTCTGAAACCAGGGACAAAAAAAGAGATAAATGTCATGAAACACTATTTATTTCAAACATCACTAGAAACAAATCAAAGTAAACAAAATAAAACCAAACAAAACATTAATAAGACAAAAAGTTCTAGTTAACAGAAAAATATCTCACTGACTTCATAGTGTTGATAATTTAAAAATTTCCCTGTAATCTCCACAGATGAAATATTTTTTCAATTAGTAAAACTCATTTCAATATGGAAATAAAAAAACAATCTGGAAAAGAACATTTACAAAAGAAAACAAAAATCATAGCATGTAGCCTATAAAAATAAGGATATTGATTTTGAAACTGATCTCAATTTTCTACATTAATTCTAAAAAGTATCTGAAAGAGTTTTTAGCAATGTTATGATAAAAAATGTTTAAAAACTCTTAACTCTTTGATTTCCATATATAGAATACACATTACATATAAGGAACACAATTTTGTGGACTTGAACATATGTGAAGAAGATTAGTGGGCTTTTTGTCAGAAAGTAATTTCCAAAGAAGGGTGTTAGTATTATTCGAATTCAGAATTTATACACAAATTTAGTTACAAGTCATATATTTATTAGCTACGTAAAATACAGTCTTCTTTTATGGAGTGTTATTGGAAGATAGTTCTTTGAATGAAAGGAGTCAGTGATTTTACTGGATATTATTATGGGAAAAAAGAGACACCACTTAATTATCAATGTATAAAAAAACAGACACAAAGAATGACTTCCTCCCAGAATGCTAAGCAAGCCAACCAGAGGAAAAAGGTAGTCATTGTATAAAGTTACAGAATATTCTCAAGTATTGAGAGAAAAATGGATGATTCCTCTTTGCCTTTGTTGCTATATAGTATCTGACAGTAGACTATTTTATATGTCTTATAGCCTTAAAAGTGAATTACGTTGCGCTTCTCAGAGTTTTGTTTTTAATTGTAATTTAATTTTAATTTAAATTTTATCAGCTTGAAAAAAGTTTTGAACTCAACTTAGAATTAACACTTAAAAAGCTAACTATGAAAGATAAAAGAAACACTAAAAATCTATTTAAAAATTAATGAACAGTTTACAGAAAACAAAATTGTCATTATAATATACATAGAAAGTCCAAGATAAATTATAAAAAAGGACCCCATCATCATAGCAACAAAAACTTTAAGGTACTTAGGAACAAATCCAACAAGCAATATGGAGTACATTCATGAAGAAAATAATGAAATTTTACTGAAGGTGGTAACAGAATTCTAAAGAAATAGATATACCATATTCATAGATGGAAAGACTCAATATCATGAAGATGTCAATTCCCCTTATATAAATCTACAATGTAATTCCAGTCAAAAGCCCCACAAAGAATTTGACAAGCTGATCCTAAAAGTCATATGGAAAACTAAAGGGTCAAGAAAAAAATGAAGAAGAATGACATAGGTGGGGATGGCTCATCATACCACGTACCAGGAATTATTTTTGGGTATAGTAATGAAGACAATGTGGTGTTGGTGCAGAAATAGACAAAAAGAATAATGGAAGAGAATACAGAACCCCCAAACAGACCCATGCATATAAAACAGAGATAGCATTATAAATCAATGGAAAAATATATGAGAGTTGATTGTTCATATGGAAAAAACAGATTAGAATCCCATTTCCCATAATATATAACAATAAACTTCAGCTTGATTTTTCTAATATATGAGTGTGTAAAGGTCCTAAACACATAAACAAGCGATTTTAAAACATTTAGAAGAAAATATGGAAGAAAATATAATCTGTGCAGAAAGAAGAAATGCTTTAAAAAGACATAAAAAGCAGAAGTCGTAAAGGAAAAGCTTGATAAATCTGACTACTTAAAAATTAAAACTTCTGCAAGACAAAAAGACACTGCAAACAAAATTTGAAAATAAGCCACAGACTGGGAGAAGATATTTGCAATGCATATAGTCAGCAAAGTATTAGAACAAAGTATCTAGAACATATAAAGAACCCTTAGACAACAATAAGAAAAACAATAGAACAATGGACAAAGGATACGAACAGGCAAATCATCAATAGCCAATAAACATATAAAAGGATGCTCAATATCACTAGAAACCAGAGAAATGCAAACTAAAACAAAAATGCCACTTTACACCCATCAAGTTGGCCAAAGTTAATGCCTGACAGTACCAAGGGCTGACAAGAATACGGGGAAATGGGGAACGCTCACACAATGCTTGTGGGAATGAAAATTGGTTCAACAACTTTGGAAAACAATTTGGCAAGATTTAAAGCTGAAAATGCATATATCATACAACCCAGTAATTTCACTTCTACATAAACTCTGCACATCTGCACAAGTAGATTCTACCTATAAGAATGTTCACTTCAGCATCGGTTGTAAAAGCAAAAAACTGGAAGCAACCTAAATATCCAACAATAGGACAATAAATAAGTTATGGTATATCCATACAATGGAATATTATGCAGCTGTTACAATGAATGAACTAAATGGTCATGTATCTATATGCATAAACCTCAAAAGCAAAATGTTGAATGAACACATTTGCAGAAGGATACAGATAACATTTGTGTAAATTTTAACTACACAACAAGCATTCTATACATTGTTCATGGATACGTAGAAAACAAACATAAAACCAAGGAAGGGAGGATACACACTAACTGCAGGATATTTAGATTTGTCCGAGAAAGCAGAGAGGGGAATGGTATAGTGGAAGATATTCCAACTGTATCTGGAAATATTTTATTTCTTTAAGAAAAAATCTTGAAAAAAAAAAGGGGGGGGCACAATGTTCCTATCTGTAAAATCTGTGGATGGTGGTTACATGGGTGTTTATTATTTTATTCTGTGTGTGTTTGAAATATTTCACCATTAAGATAAAAATGTATGAACCCAAAATAGTAAAACAGTTATAACCAAAAAAGCAGAGGCTCTAATCAGCTTGGCAAGTCTGAGAAAGTCTACAGTTTGAAAAAAACAAGGTCAGAATCTGACTGTAACTCATACTTCATCTAGCTTTTGAAATTGGACTATTTGCTTCTATTGGAACAGTAGACACCATGGAGATTAAAACACTGGAAGCCAAGGGGCTCTGTCTGAACTGTAATGCTGACTGAAGAATCAGAACTGCATCTTTGAGGCAGAATGACATGGACTTAGGTACAATACATCCTTCTGACTTGTTGAGAAGATGATCTCTGTTATGCAAATTGGCCAACTGGCTGTTTAAAACCATTGACTGACAGGAGATGTCAACACAATATTGTTTTTGTACTATTAAAAGGTACAACTTATTTGAATGTCTATTTCTGATTTACCAGTTGGAATAAACTATCCAGTTGCCAGTAGTGGCAATTTTGTTTTTAAGCTCTACTTATTATGTAACAAATCAGTTATATCATGGCTTATTACATTTAGTAAAAGAACTAAAATATAAGAACAGCACCTGGCCCTACCATGTGCCTATAGAATTTGTATCCAAAAGTTACATAACTCTCCTCTGTTCCACATAGTTCTCTAATTAAAATAAAGACTACATTTATAGTTAAATAAAACTTTCTACTTCAGGTTGAATTTTCAGGGTAGTTTTCTACTCCTATCTACATTATCAACTAAATGTAATAATCTCCAATAGACTATGACTTATTACACAAATATCTGATTAAAACAAGAGAGACAAATTTCACTTGTTTTTGCAATGAGAGTCCCCTTTCCTGACACAAGTGAAAAGTTGTGGAGCAAGACTGCTCCAGTGAGGCACCTTAACTGGCTCAGCTTCACTAGATGTGGAAGGAGATGTGGACCTTGACTGGATGTAAAACTTGACGTTCGGATGCCGTACATTTGTGTTCTCAACGGGATCAGTCTAGGAAAATAAGTCAGGAAAAACAAAAACCCAAGAAATCACTTTTAAACAATTTGCAGCTCTTAGCAAATTTTTGTAAGGCATGATCACGATAACATTTCTTGAAAATGGTGGAAACAAACTTTAAATATTCACATTAGGGATATGTCATTATACAAAAGCATAACCACTAGCTTTAATGTAAACAAGGGCTAAGATAACAATAGTTAACAAAAGGCTCCTTCCCAATCTTTACTGTTGATCTCTTACTTTGAGCCCGGATCTCTGATGCATATATTATGCTTGTATTCCACATAGAACTTTTGTATTTCACAAAATACTATGTATATGAAATAAATGCAGAGTATGTAATAAAGATATGTACTGCAGATTAGAGATGAATAATTCTGTCCTTGATAAAAATGAAATTTGGTCCTCTACTAGGCATTAATTGAAAGTAAAAAAAACCCTAACCTATCAGCTTTATGCTTGTCATACTAAAGTAAATCTTTTTTAATTTGCAGCAGTAGAAATAGTAGCCTTTACATTATTTCCCCCTATTAAGCCAAGTACTTCTGGAAATTAAAAATGCTGTGTTCTTATGGAACACACTGATTAATTATCTATTCAGTTGGGCAATTTTCAAAATTACCAGGATTGAGTTTTTAAAACGAAAGGCATTGAAGGCAATCTGGGAAGGAGGTTAGAAAACTTGTTTTGACACAAGAACAAATGCTTAGATCAGAAGTTACAAGTCAATAAAAAGAGCATCAGCATTTACAGAAATTTAAATATGTACTTAAAATGTTTTTTCTTTTTCTTTATCACAGTTACTATTTTAGGGGGGGAAGACATGAGAGGCTGATAATGTACTCAACTACTCCTTAGAACTGCCATTGATGAAAGATTTGGGTATATTCATGAAAATATGTTCTCACAAAGTAGAAATTTTAGAACAATGGATTAAAATAACTATAGCTCTCATACTTCAAATTAAGGGAACAAAAAAATCTCTTTGAAATATGGACTAAATGATAAATGATTGTGAATAGAGACACTTGGAAAAAAGGTTTGCCAAGATATTCACTTTTCAGCTTGGTTTTCAGCCCAACAGAACTCTGGGTACACGGCTTCAATCTCTAAATGCACAAATTATTTTCTCAAGTTGGGGATTTTTCCCACCTATAATTAATATACAAGGCTGTTATGGATTTATATGTTGCATATATAGAGTCAACTTCTGATTGACGTGGTATATTAAAATCTGCCAGGTGTGTGGGAGCTGCAGGGACTAGCTAGTGGGCTGGTAAACGCTATGGTAGCCTTTTGTAGTTTCCCACCTATGGCCTCTGGAATCCCAGCATTCCATGAAGCAGGACTTTTGGTGGGACCTACTAACACGGTCACCAGCACAGGCCTTAAACCTTTAGTTAGTGGATTCGGAGAAGAGGGGAAACGGCAACTGTCAGTGAAGCATCTAGCTACTTACCAACCGCTAGAGTATTTCAATGTTTACACTGATGTATATCAGCTGAACATCAGCTCTCTGTGTGTGGTGTGGCCAATTTCATTAAACTAGTAAGTTTTGTGAAGTGAGAGAGTCAGGTCTGAATCCCATCTCTTAACTCCAAATGCAGCACTCTTTTTGTTGTACAGAGCCATTACTCTGCAAAGTAATTTAACGATCATGGAGGCTAAGTTATATTATCTCCTTTCCTGACAGTGAGCTTTGATCAGGAAGAGGACAGAGAAAGAAAGAAACATGGGAGGCTCTGAAGACAAATTTTACCCAGCTCATAGTTATACTCAGGGACAGCCATGGAGAAGGTAGTTTAAATTATTAATCTGAAATATGACCCTGGTTTGGGAATAAGGCAGAAATGTCTTAGACTTTCTAAAAGTCTCCTCTTTCTAGTTTTTGTAAGATTATATAAATTGCAAGCTGAATAAGAGTCCATGCGAGAGGGGATTCAGTTAAAATGAAATTGATACGCAAAGCACTACTAATACATTTTACACGAATAAGAACTTAAAACTGGCTCAAATAATCGAAAGTTTTAAAGTCCTGACCAAGTAGGGGATTCGCTATATGTAAAAAAACTAGGTCATTTTAAGAAAAATTAAGTTTCTGACCTGTTACACAAAAACTTTTAGCCCTATTGTTTGATTGAAAGACATAAAACCAGAAGTTCCTGTGAGAAGGATAACGCTGTGAATAGGACTGAATAGTTAATATAGTGGCTTTGTACCTCTGGGTCCAATTAGTTTAAAAACTCTTCCAAAAAAGAGAAAGTTTGTTATTTCCAATTGTACTGATTAAAATTTTAGTGGGCCTGCTCTTTGAGCCACATGAACGCATGCTGACATAAGTTGAGCTTACCATTTTATACTTTCTTTTGCAGGAATTAGAATACATTGCCTCAAGCCATTTTACCACATGTGGTCCAGTAGTGTGTCAAAGTCTGTTTCCAAGGCTTCTAGAACCAATTGTGCGCATCTCTTCCCAGCCCCGAGTTCAGTGAGGTCACTTTAGTAGCTTGAAATCTGTCAGGCTATGCTTACAACATGGAAATTTGCAAACCCTCAAAATTAGGGCTTCCTTCCTGCCCCAGAGTTGGTTGTTAAAATATTTACCAGTACGTTTCATGACCCTGTGAAGATGTTACATATCACAGTGGGATATTAGGCAGAGGAAAGATATACCATCACAGCTTAATCTGTGACTGTACCAAGTAGTGACTCTTAAAGAACTCTTGAGGCTTTTAATACACACCTCTTGGCTCTTCTGAAGAATTATGGGCATGTGTGAAAGTATTTTTGTCCTAAGTAGTTTTTCACTCATCAAAACATGAAAGAAAACAATAGGAACGAGCATAGATTAAAAAATAATTTCCTTAGCTGAATGAGGTAAAAGCTGATTATTCAGAAGCGGAAAACACTTAAATAAAAAAAATAACCCAATACTAATTGTAATAAAATATAATAATAAAAATTACAATGATAGCTTTTTAGAGCTGATTCCCTTAAAGTAAAAATCAATTCCGCAGATTAAACAAAACCAAGTGAGTTTTTGTTAAAAAAGTTAAAAATAAGTAAAGATACTGTAAAATATTTTGAAATGGCATTAACTGGCCATATTAAAAATTTGAACGGTGCCATTTACAATGATACTCTGATTATTGTTTAACTGAAGTTGAAAAATTACCACTTTCTTTTCTAACATCTGTTTCTTATAAAGATAAGAAACAAATTTTGGTAAAAATGAGTAAACCCAAGGCAAAAATGTTTTGGATGTCAAACTTAAAAAAATTTTTCAGCTCTTTTAAAAGACTTTATAAGAAGTTACTATCTAATAACATTAAAACACTTCAATATTTTATTTCCTTTCTGAATTACTGCCAGTGTAAACAATATTTCAAAAGATGTTTAACAATAAAAACTAAAAAAATACTATACTACTTACACATTTTCTTTATCATAGTTTTAATTACCACCACCAGGACTGTGTTTTTAAAGATATTATTGATTTTAACTATAATTAAATGCTTACCAATGCGTTTAAAATCAATAGTTTATTCTATCCTCTAAAAAGCAAATAATTCTACTAAACTTTCAGAATACGCAATATCAGGATTTAAAGATAGCCCGAAATTAATTTTAATAATTAATTGGTAATGATTCAGTATAGTATGGCAGGAAAGCAAAAATCAGTTATTTTTATACAAAGTACTTTAAAACCTTCTAAACAAATGTAATCATTATTAATACTATATTTAAACCAAGTTTATAAATCTGTTATGAAAAATATTAAAGCATTATGTATAAGCAATGAATTGAATACTCAGTAAAAACTAAACTACATGATATAAATAACAGACACCTTAATTCAATAGTTGGGTTTACGATCATAGAAAGAATGACAAAAAGGGGAAAATGACAAAATCCAATAGCTAATATTTATTGCACTGTATACTCTGATATCCAAAGACAGATCTTGGAAACAAATCTTAACTGAACATGTAAGCAATATACTCAACATTTCTAAGCTGCAATCCACTGAGAAAAATAAATAAGGAATATCTTTATATAAATGATTTTTTCCCCGTATTTTGGGCTAATATTTTTTCCTAAGTAAACATACTTTAAGAAGTTATTCTAAGGAACAGGCATTAGAAACATCTACTATACTCCAGTGTCATTTTATTTCATGCTCTAATATTAAAAAGATGCAAGAAAACTTAATATCAAACTTTCAAAAAAGCTTATCAGCGGTATTGGACACACTGCCTAACACTGTCATGCAAAAAATCCGTAACATTCTCTGAATTTATTAAATCTTTCTGATGAATGATCCTCAAAATGTATTTTTAGAGTAGCACAGTGAAATAGAAAAGTATTTTTTTCAGGATCAGGCAACTGTCTCATTTTAGATGACCTACTTATCAAGAAGTCCTCAAGACCACCACAGTGGTCGTCTTATAAATAATAAAAATAACTGAAACCACTCATCTTAAATATGCATCAATGGGCCTTTTTTTAGGCCAAACAATAATTACAGATTTTAACAAGTAGCACCATTCTCATTAGAAATCTGGTTTTAAAGTAAAACATACCAAGGTTTTATATGGATTATAAGTGGCCAACTTATTTAAAAAAAAAAAAAGCTTCTATCTAATATGTTGTTTTGTATTGTTAAATATAAAATTCTAAGTTAACCCAGAAAAAAATTCAATTTTCAAAAGAATTTTCAGCTACAAGTATTTTAAGAAGCAACATGACAAATAATCCAATATTTAAACCTTTAGTGATATAATTTTTTCTGTTAATTGAGCTTATGATAAAAATGATAACAGTATTACAGACATACTGTACCATATGGAAAACGGTACATATAACATTTTATCATTTTAAAACAAATTACTGAAAGTTATGACTAGTAAAAGAAGTCCTGGTGTGCAGTGGTTAAGTCCTTGGCTGCTAACCAGAAAGGCTGGAAGTTTGAATCCACCAGCTGCTCCTTG